GGGAGACGTCTTCCACCGTGTGGGCAAAAAATGCTGAGGCTGGAAGAGACAGCTCCCCGGGTCATTTAAATGGAGCTCGCGAAAACGTAAATAACGTTGTCTCCTGTGCAAGTCTCCACAAGTCAGAATCCGAACAAAGCTCCAGTCTTGCGCGGAACAGCCTGTGGCTTTTGCCCTCACTTCACGTCTTGACAAAACCCATTAGTCTGTGACCCTCACTCCCTTTGCCTCCTCCTCGAAGACAGGGAAAGAATACATTCGAGTCGTTAAAAGATGATGTTGCCTTGCATAAGTATGTTCTGCCAGCTCTATGACGTTATGCACAGCGTTTACTCTTGTTTATTAAACCATCCCTTTTGTGTCAGAATTAGCCTTCAGAGAGAACTATTTAATGGTAACATTTTGTACTTTTTGTAAGTGGTTGCCAATAAGGCGCAGCTTGACAGGTATTAATATGACCCTAACTAAAATTAGTGCATTTTGAAGGTTTTGATGCAAAAGGTGGCAAGACAGAAAATAGAAAAATAGCAATTAAACTTTGAATTGAAATCAGGTTGTTGTATTGTCTTAGCTCAAGAAACCGAAATATGCAGTAATTTCTCTGCAGTATTTTCACTGACATGAATGTCTTAGCATTTGTATTTTTGTAAATGCAATTTACATTATCAGTATACTCCATGTATATCCATAAGTTTAAATGAAGACTCTTTCTTATAAAGGTGGTAAAACACCAGATACTTTGTCCACATTTTAATATTCATAGATGTATAATATGCTTATTGGTTTACAGATAATGCAACCTAAAAAAATGTCTTATAACTGTTGATTTGGAAACATTACCAAGAGAGAAAGCAATGTGAAAGTGTTGAAATAGCATTTACAGTTTCTGCTTACAGGCCATAACAGATTTTTTTCTCATTTTGAGTAGAAGTTAGCCTCAGTCATCTTGCTTGAATAGCTCTGATATTTCTGGTGGTATTGGTGTGCAGGATCCTGGTTCTTGCCCAGATCTAGAATCTCTAAAGATACTCTTGTAAATTGGAAGATAGAAATAAGGGGCATTTTGCTTGCACATTGATTGCAGTGCCTGTGATATTATATCAAGAAAACCAGGAAGCTTTGAATAGTTCTTTTTCATTTTTAACACAGCGAACATGTGGAAAGGTATGTTAGGAAGTAGTGCTTTATAGGAAAACTATTCCCTTTACAAAAGAATCAGTAACATGACTTTTACAAATAGCAAGCTTCTATAGTGCTTTTAAATGAAATACTCTCTAGTATGGAACCCTTGTCTAAAGTATAGGGCACACATTGTAAGGCCTAAGTCAGCCTCACAAATTCAGTATTTTGAAGTCAGTTGAATTTTTGTTTTTCTGGAACATAAATCATAGACCAGACATGGAAGAAGTACCTGAACTTTAAGTATTTCTAAGTCCCCTAGTAATGTTTATGATAATTTAAAAAGAAGCAGTAGTATACTTTGTTGTAGTAGGAATATTTTTTATTAGACTTCTAGATATAAAAAGATTAATGTATAATACTTCTAGATCTCCATTTCTGTTTAAAAACTTTGTCAACATGCTAGCACCCAACTATGGACAATGATTCTCCTAAAGAAGGGAACCTGAGATGGGAACTTTCACTTTTACACAATATGTCTTGATGAAATGTGTTTCAAAAAGCACATACTGCTTTTGTAATTTTTTAAATTAAGTATCAGTGTTAAAGTTACCAGTATCAAAACATCTGGGCAGCTTTTTTCAGTGCACCAAATACAGTGAGAAAAATGAAATGATTGACATGTGATTTTTTTACTTTTCAAACAGTTTTGCTAGTGAGTAGCCAATAAATAAACCAACAGATTCTTTCATTTGTGGTAAATTGTTCATTGTTTCACTTAAGGATGTTGATAAAGATTCATAAATGTTATCTTTAATAAATTTGAAAAATCTGATTACAACAGTACTTTCAGTACACTCTGACTCATGTAGTGATATTATACATGTAGATGTCATTCTTAGTCAACATTCACTGAGGATTTTTACACTGTGAAAATTAGTGTCTTTTATACACTAATGAAGAAACATGTCAGAGAGATGAAACAGTGTTGTGATGGTGGAGGCTGTTATCTTTTTTAAAGATGCTGATTAGGATTGTTGAGGGCAGAGAACTGTGAGTTCCCACATAAGTTTTCCAGCCACACCTTCACTGAGAGCCTGTGACCTGTGTCCTGTGATTACCATCTACATCATTTTCAATAAGGCCATTTGCTGTTGGCAGTTCTACCTCTAGAATCTGGATCGGCCAAAATTTCCGGTGTCTGTAATTCAGTTTCTTACAGCTACAAATGAAGGCATAATTGAAGCAATCTTTAGGCAGTTATGAAATGTACTTAATTTGTCTTGTGATCACCTGCCCCTTGAAGACCTGCAGTGTCTTTTGTTTAAATTAATATCTGCTAGAATATAGGATAAGAAGCTCATTTGTCATATAACTAGAAAGTGTTCAAGAGTGAATTTTTCAGAAAATTGATCTTAACCATTTAGAAATCAAGAGTACTATTTATAATAGTGGTATCTAAAAGGCTCTCTAATGTATCAAAAACTTTTAGAGAAGCTCAAAAGAGTGATAATTAAGGGCTCTACATCTCGGACCAGATTTCCTGGGTTCAACCCCTTACCTCTACCACTAATACTGAGCTAAATGATTTGGGTTCTTAACTAGATAGATAAAACAGGTTTATATTTTCAGTTTATCTTGCTGCATTGTTGCTGTTTTTGTACAGTAATTGGTTTCTCCCCTCAGATTATGCTGTTAAACTTTTTGATCTTAAGCAGTCTTTTAGATGGCAAATGATATCTCAGAATAGTTAACCTGTAGTTATTTTATTGTAAGGGTTGATAATTTTTCAGCCATTGTATTTCCTTTTGTTTGACCTGTCTGTGTCCTTTGTTCATTTTCCTATCAGATTGCTGGGGGTTTTCTTCACTGATGTGTAGGAATCTTTATGTAATAAGGAAATTTAGCCCTTTGTTGCATGAATTGCAAATATATTTTACAGCTTTTTTTAATTTTATATTTTTTACCCATGTAAAAGTACTTTTATGCCACCAAACTTATTAAATTTCTATTTAATGACTTCTGTATTTTGTGATATTCTTAGGCTACTTTACTATGATTTTTGTGAGGTTTTTTTATACTTTGACTTATTGTAGAGTAAAATATACTTGAGGACTCCATCTTCACTTTTTTTCTGTCTAAACAGTTGTCCCAAGGTGAATTTTTGAATAATTCATTTCTCCCTCTTTTGAAATGCTACCTTTTAATATACTTGAGTCCCAAGAATAGTGTCTCTTTGTTATAAATAAGTCTTGCTGTTGGTGTTTTTGAAAATGCATGTTTTTTAAATAAGATAGCAAATAAATGAGAAGGGATAAATATTAGTTTAGCCTTAAAGTTTTGTTTTGAAATGTTTTGTTTTGAATTGTTTATAATTGGATCAGAAATTCAGCAGTTAGAAAAGGGCTAATGAAATTATTTTATAATAAATGGCTGCATTTGTGCCAAGATGATATATTAGTATTTTTTCCTTACATTTGTTATGGGATTTTAAAATAAAAACACATACATGGCTGGATCAGTGAATTCAGTGACTCCTCTAATCAAGGGTACAGTTGTTAGAACACTACTATCTTCAGTATAACTGTGAAAGAAATCAGTAAGAAATAAATCTCTGATCTCCAATACAAGATTATTTGAATTATGTTATTTTTATAGAGTCATAGAAATATAGCCTTTGAATCTGGATATGAGTTCTAATAAAAATTCTCTTCAATTTTATCCTGCCTGCTTGCTTTTTAAAATCCATTCTGCTCCAGTCATTTGCTTGGACCAGATTTCTTGAATCGCTGCCATATGTCCTTCTCTTGTCTTCCCTGCTCCTCCCCCTTTTTTTTCTTAAAAAGGAAAGCATCTGGTTTATATCTTGAAGGACTTTTGGGAGCAGTAGGGAAGGGTGGGAATAATATTTATATGTAATTATAAATATAAACAAAGGTTAATTTTTAGAATTTTTAGTCGTGTAAACTCTAAGAAGTTGTTTTTTTGTTTTTGTTTTTGTTTTTTTGAGACCAGATTGATAGGACATGAGCCTCAAAAAAAAAAAAAAAAAACCCACACACCTGGATTATATTCATTTTTATTTTGTTTCTGTAACCACACTGTTGGAGTAAAAGATGGAAGCCTTAATACTAGATTGTCAGTTTTTGTTACCACACTACACTATCACATAGGTATAAAATTCTAGGTTCACTGTGTCAAAAAGCAGAAAACCATTTATTTCTCAGTTAAATGATTTTCTTGAAAAATATAAACAAGTTTGATGACATCCTATAAATAAATTTAAGGCAAACTTAAAAGCAAAATGAATTTCTCTAAAATTGTTTTACTTAACCATAGGGAAAACTTGACCTGTATTACTTTTTCATCTTTTTTCCCCCTTATTTTCTTAATATTTTTCTTAATATTTCTGTTTCTTATTGGAAGTTGTTGTTATAGATATAATGATAGCTATCTAAAACTGAAAGAAGTATAAATATGTGGAAATTTCTACTTTTTTATTTCCTCACAAGATGTGTAAGATTTGATATTTTGGTTTGGTTTTGGTTGTACAAATACACTGGTCTTATTTTGTATCAATGACCGTCCACAGGGTTGACTGCTATGTGCTGAACTTTCTGTTCTAGACTTTTTGCCAAGTACTTTATGCAAAATTTTGTTTTAGTGAAACAGGTTTTATTGTGTTAGTTAGAGTCAAAGTATAAGCTGTTGTCAGCTACGGGATACAAGCAGAGGAGTTGGTATGTATATATGACCATGAAAACAAACCACCAAAACAAGTCTGTCTCTGTTCTACTGGTTGTTTTTCCCTCCCATTCCTGTAGTCTCAGTTCATGTTGTTTACTGCTGGAGGCCTGAGATGGTGTAATTTTCTTTTCTAGGAACTTGGAATTAGAATTCCTCGACCACTAGGACACGGACCAAGCAGATTCATCCCAGAAAAGGAGGTATGTTGTTTGTGAAAGTACGTAGTGAACTGTAAGCTTTTAAGGAAAAGCTTTCTTGACCCACATCTTGGCATCTACACACTGTTGGTCAACAGCATGTTTTACACAGAGTTGATCACAGTTAATCATCATGCTTTGGCAATGAATCTGTTGGATTAGAAAGCTCTTGTAGTCATGTTGATTTCTAGTATTTCATGATGCTTTTCTAACAGCTATATTTAATTAAGGAAAAAACTTGTTTTGACCAGTGATACTCTATGCTTAGATGTTGAGGGGTGCTCATAATCTGAGTTACTTGGTCTTGACCATCTCCATAGGCTGCTATCAATGCTAGATCAGATTTTTAATTCTAAATGTGTAAAAGCACCTATGTTTTGTTTTCACAAGCATTGTGTGCTGTTCATTTTGGTTCCTCTTGCTCTCTCCTTTGAGTGAAAGTAGGCCTTGTTGTGAGGAAAGACTTTAGTGTCTGTTTGCAAACTGCAAGTTTGGTACTCTAAATCTGCTCCTTTTTCTGCAAGCAGCCCATCTAGATATCCTTTAATACTTGACCTTTGTTGTTGTGATGTACATGTGTTTTTTATCTTGCTCCCAGTTATATTAAATTTGTAGAATTGCAATCTCTCTCTCGATCCAAATAATCTGCATCTAGATGACACTATGAAAATGTGCATGTGCAACTTTCTAACTTTCTGTCTTGAACAATGATTTACAGTTTAACCATGATTTTTCTTTCACACAGATTCTCCAAGTGGGGAGTGAAGACGCACAGATGCATGCTTTATTTGCAGATTCTTTTGCTGCTTTAGGTCGTTTGGATAATATTACGTTAGTGATGGTTTTTCACCCACAGTATTTAGAAAGTTTCCTAAAAACTCAACACTATCTACTGCAAATGGATGGGCCATTACCCCTACACTTTCGGCACTACATTGGAATAATGGTTTGTAAACCTTCAGTGAAAAATTCTTTCTGCCTACTTTACTAATCTTTTTAAGAGATGGGTTAATGCTTTAAACACAGGGATAAGTATTTCTGGCTTGTAATTGGATTCCTGTTAGGTAGTATCTGCTTTTCCTCTCTAAGAAACATGTATTTACACACTGTTGAATCATTTTCCATTAAATAGGAGAATAAAGTAGAACCCAAGATACAGTTCACGTTGACAGAAATGATGTTATTCCTGTTAGATGCCTTATATATTTCTTAATCTGAGGTTCTGAAAGTTGGTATACAAGTAAACGTTCTAAAGTTCAAATACTTTTATCATATATTTTGTTCTTAAAATATATGAGGTACTCTTATGGGGTCAGTGAGTTTTTAAATGTTTATATGAAACATTTTTATATTTTGTGGAAAATTTGGAAACATAGTAACCAAAACCATAATTAGCTGCACATTATAAAGGAAAATTTCTACTTTAAATGACTCTGTTTTTGAACAGTCTTTTTGTTTTCTCTTAAGGCTGCAGCAAGGCATCAATGCTCCTACTTAGTGAACCTCCATGTAAATGATTTTCTTCATGTTGGTGGGGACCCCAAGTGGCTTAATGGTTTAGAGAATGCACCTCAAAAGCTACAAAATTTAGGAGAACTTAACAAAGTGTTAGCCCATAGACCTTGGCTTATTACCAAAGAACACATTGAGGTAAGTGGTGAAGTAATATATCTAGAGTACCATTTTTTTTAATTTAATAGACTTTATTTTTCAAAGCAGTTTTAGGTTTACAGGAAATATAGAGTTCCCATATTCTGCCCCCTCAACACAGTCTCTCCTATTAGTAACATCTAATATTGATATGATATTAACTAATTTGATAGGGTTCATTAGGGTTCACTCTTTGTGTTGTACAGTTCCATGGGTTTTGACAAATACATAATGCCATGTGTCAAACATTACCGTATCATAGAGAATAGTTTCAATGCTCCAATCTGCTATCCCTTTCATCTCTCTCCCTTTCCCCCCTGAAACTGTCTTTATAGTTTTGACTTTTTCATAATTTGATAGCAAATTCTTTACTGCTGAACATGTACCACAGTTTGTTTATGCATTCACCTATTGAAGGATATCTTAAGTGTTTCTAGTTTTAGGCAATTATGAATAAAGCTGTAAAAAACATTCACATGCAGGTTTTTCAGTAGACATAGTAAATAAGTAGGAATGTGATTTGTTGGATCCTCTGTTTAACTTTGTAAGGAAACTGTTGCTATACCAATGTGCAATCCTACTGCTAAACATCTTTGCTAACATTTAGTGATATCAATGTTTTGGATTTTAGCCATTCTAATAGGTTAGAAGTGGTATCTTTTCTGCCTTTTTAAAATACTGTCTTAATAAACAAACCCACAAGAAACTAGCTTAAAAATGATAACAGAATAATATTGCCATTCTCTAAAAGTATATCTACCATGCAGTGGAAATTCTTCAAAATGGTCTTGACTTTTTATTTTAGAGAGCATTTTAGATACAGTTACCTAACTGAAGCATATTATCAAGGAGATGTGAGATTTGAATATGATTAATGCAACAGTCTATTATACTGTCTAGGAACACAGATTTTTAAGTCTTGGAAGGATTATAGAACTTGACCTAGGGCATAATTTTAAAATATCAGTTGATGATTTAGGAATATTCAGTCAAAATGTTCAAACCACTATCTTAATTCCTTGAGAAGGCCTGCTAATAAAAAGAAAAAATATTTTATACAATAGCTTCCACTTTAAAAGCAAGTTTGAGGCTAGTTAATACATTCATAAACCTGGCAACTGATTTTGATAATACTCATTTTTATTACATTTTAAAATTAGGATTCTAGAAAATTAAAATGTCATGTCATTAGCAAATTCTGAGTTCTACGTGTCTCAAATTGTAATTTTATACTGTTTGTAAAGTGGCTAATCCTGTTTTTAATATATTGTGCTTTCACCCAACACCATATTCCAATGTAAAATATGTTCATTTCCCTCCCCCTCGCCTCAAGGAACTTTTAAAAGCTGAAGAGCACAGCTGGTCCCTTGCAGAACTGGTACATGCCGTAGTTCTACTCACACACTATCATTCTCTTGCCTCGTTCACATTTGGCTGTGGAATCAGTCCTGAAATTCATTGTGATGGTGGCCACACATTTAGACCTCCTTCTGTTAGTAACTACTGCATCTGTGACATTACAAATGGTAATCACAGTGTGGATGAGATGCAGGTCAACTCAGCAGGAAATGTTTCGGTAAGTATATTTGTTAGAGGATTTTTATCAAATCAATCATAATTGCTGTTCTGTTACTTTTTCATTTGACTTCTTAGAAAATCTACCCTGTTAAGTCCGTAGAGATATTAAACTCATAATATCATTTGCCAAGTATTTATTGACTGCCTCCAAATGCCCACTACTAGTCTAGTGCTAAGGGATATGCAAAATTATATGGTCCCCTGGGAGGTTACATTCAAGTAATTTTTATATTAGGAGCCACCAGCGTGTACCCATCAGTCAGCCAGTGTTGAATGGCTCCTTCAATAAGATGGTGTAGAACTCCTAATGTTCATCTCATCCTTTTCCTCTCTTGGGCTGACTTAATTATTCATCTTTAGAATATTTAGTAAGCCTTGATCTAGAAATTTCTCCATTTAAAATTCTTTTTCACATTTAACTCCACCCAAATACATATATATGTACATACACACACACATATGATATGTGTGTGTATAACAAATGTGAAAATTTACTGAAATGTTTTCACCTTTTCTTCTCTGGCTTTTATATTTTCTCTTTTTTTTTTATTTCTTGGAAACAGATCAGAGTAAGTTGAAATTTTTATAGGCAAATTTTAGTTCCAGTAGATGATGAGTCAAAATTCCCTCTGCATCGTTTTGTTGTAGTGAAAGAGTGAAGGTTTATGTTCAGAGAGAAATCACAGAAACAGTATCACAGTCTTCTGAATATTTTCCACAGATTTTGACAAGTTGAATTATCTTTATATATTTGATTACAGGCAAGTTAACTAACCTATTTCATGTCTAAATAAAGGTCAAACACAAGCTTATAGTGAGGTAAATATAATGTAAAGGACCTATTATATTTATTCGGTGCTAATAAGGTAGCATTTACATATGGTAAGATAAGTATATGAAGGAATATCATTTTCCCAAGGTTGGTTGCTGTACTGTGCTGACAAGACCATCAGTTCTACCCACTGTTTGGTTACCTAGCTTCATTGTAGACTTGTTTATGACCACTGATTAGCAAAGCTTGGAGATTATGAGCTGGTGTAAGGGAGAGAATATTTTCAGTTGCTAGAATGCTAAAAGTTGGATTCTTGTCCTTCCCTGCCTTTGTTTATTTCTGGTTATTCCACTACTATATGAGATAACCATGAAATAGACATTTTTTTCTCTAGAAGATAAACTTGCTTACTCCCAGGTATTGAGTTCACCACTTTTAGGTGGTTTAAAGCCCACAATGATGATAGCTTATTCTTCAGGTATGTCAGATAGCTGACTCTCTTCCTCAGATACAAATAGTTTTTTACAAAAAATGAAAGGCCTTTTAAAGTACATTTTGTTTCTTTTCCCTCTTATTTCAGTTTACTCCATCCAAATTTTCTTAGGGAAGGATACTTAAGTATTCTTAGAAGTTGGAATGTTTATTTTAGTGGAAAATGGGTAAACAAAATAATCAGGAATAATATAAGTTGACAGAGACCTTAATTTTTTTTTAAACCTTGGGTCATCTCTTAAGCAATGTAATCCTTTTCAGGTCATTTGTTTGGCCACTGACCCTGTCTTTTTATTTATTTATTTTTTTGGTGGGACCCTAGCCGGCTGCCAGGGAACAAACCGGTGCTGCAGAGGCTGCAGACAGCCTCGCAGCCCAGCACTCAACTGCTGCGTCACCAGGGGAGGCCCACACTGACCCTGTCTTAATAACAATTATGGAGATAAATAGATCAGAAGACTCTTCAGTACACCTGAGAAACATGAAATTATGGGGAAAATATGTGCTTACTATTTTGGTGTAACCTTAGAGCATATGAAAATACAAAGAACAAGTAGTATAGATTGTCTTTTAATGTAGAATTATTCTAACACTCATTCTGCAATAAATATATCTTGAATATCTAAACTGTATACCAAGCACTATATTAGGCTTTGAACATATACTCTATAGTTAGACAGATTCCCTGCCCTTTTAAAGGTTTGGTCTGAGGGAGGCAGACTTTAAGCCATGTCATGCAATAATAGGTACAAAGTGTGATTGGTGTTTTGAAGGAAAGAACAGAGTGCTGTGTGAGAATAATTGCAATGGTAGGCTTGAGGGTGGAGGATCAGAAACAGCATGCAAAGGTGACATCTGAAGGCCCAGTGGTTTATGTAAACCAGGAAAAGGGTGGAAGAGTAGGGGAAGGAAAATTCCTAGCAAAAAAAAAAAAAAAAAATGTATGAAGAGGAAGACATTAGGTTTATATTTGAACATTGTGATTTGAAATTTTAAGATCTCTTACTATAACCTTTTTCATAAAAGAAATCACATAGAATTGGTGCAGCTTTCATAAAGGTATAAAAGAATAAATTGTTTGGCTACTTTAGTGGGTCTTTGTGTATCAGACCTGTCACTGCTGTAGTCATCCCAGCAGTTAACAGCTGCCAGCCCCACTTATAGAGGCCAGGTTGATAACTCCATCCCTGTAAGGACACGTTTCACTCTTAATTGGTAAATTGTATCAACAGAGCTAGTTACTATAAATATGTTAACAATTGCCCAGCATACACAGTTGATATACACTTTATTTTGTATCCTACTGAACTGATTGAGCGAGTGAAAGTTAACTTTTAAATACTCAGTTCTGTTTCAAATTGGCAATGTCTAAATAATGAGATTGTAAGGTCTACGTAATCATTGCTAATTTTATAAGATAAAACATTAGACTTTTAATAGCTTTTAAATCTATAAACCTGTATAAATAAGATAGGCAAAATAATTGATTCATGTACACTAAAATTATATCCTGTGTCTGACATATGAACATTAATTATATCTTCTCTTCAGGTAAGCGATTCCTTCTTTGAGGTAGAAGCCCTCATGGAAAAGATGAGGCAGTTACAAGAATGTAGAGATGAAGAAGAGGCAAGCCAGGAAGAGATGGCTTCACGTTTTGAAATAGAAAAAAGAGAGAGCATGTTTGTCTTCTCTTCAGGTAAAAGTAACCACCACTGCAGTCAATAAAATTTCTGTTGCTTATAAAAAAGAGCCCATTTTTATTTAGAGAATTTAACTATGTCTTTCCTTTTAAAAAGGCTATTGCATAAGGAAGTTACAGTGAAATGAGTACTAGACTAAGAGGGAGGATATTTGATTTGGCTTCTAGCATTAAAATCCCCCCCTAATAAGCTTTGTGAACCAAAGTGACTTAACATCTTTTTTCTTTTCTTTAAAATGAGGAAACTGAGTTCATAAAGCCCTGATTGCATCCCTCTTTAAAGTACATCCCTCTTTAAAATTCTGTGATTTGTGAAAAGGAGCTATTTTGTTTTGGCTGTTATAGGCAGGCTACCAAAAAACTTTTTTCCTTTAAATTAATAAAAGTGTCTCAGAATATATTTTGACAATAAAAATGTGGGAGAAAAACTATCTGTTAAAAGCACTAGGTTTTTAACAACAAAGAAAACTCAAATAAGTGGAAGTTGGATGGTAGCTTGCTTTTCCTTGAGAAAAAGTTTTTATTTGCTTCAAACTATAATCTTATTAACTCCTAAACATGAAGATAATCCAAAAAGGCTTAGAACAGTGCCACAGACATTTCAAAATGACTCAACCTCTTTCCTTCATTCATGATTCTAGAATTTTTGGACCTTTGAGCTGTTAGATCATATTACATGTTATGACATTAATATGACATCATTCCAGTGTTAAAGTTTTAGAGCATAGATAATTTTAATAAGTAGAACCTAATAATTCCAAATGTATTGCAGTGGAGACGAGGAGAGAGTGGGTCCATGAGAAAAGTGTGGAACATTAAACTGACTTTTAGTCCACATTTGTTAACATTCCATTTAAAGACTTTACCCAGTGTCAGAGAAAGTACTATCCTGTTTTTACTTAGTATAGATAAAATTAATTTTAACTAGCATCGTATTTTTGAAAAGCTTTCAATGGATTTTTGTTGTTTTAAATCATTCTAGATGATGAAGAAGTTACACCGGCAAGAGATGTATCTAGGCACTTTGAGGATACTAGTTACGGCTATAAGGATTTCTCTAGACATGGGATGCATGTTCCAACATTTCGGGTCCAGGTAAAATTGCCATTTGTTGTATGCATATGACTGGTTAGAAATATATCAGTCTGACTTAAAATAAGTCACCATAAAATGTTGCGGAAAGAAGTAATTTTTCTATGTACAGGTAGTTCCTTGTGTTTATTTGTTGCATTATTAAAGTTCATAAATGAGTTGCTTAGAATTCAAAATACTATACTAATAAAATTTTATCAGTGGTTAGGTATGCAAAACTGGTATGCAAAAACTCAAAGCTCATAGTATAACTAAACAATGAATAATAATTGCATTAGTACCTAACTGACATTTTTAACATTGGTTCTGCTCCCTATCTCCTAAGTCTCAAAGTTAAAATATAACTAGTTCTGCCCTGATAAGCATACCTGAGTGACAAGAGACTTGTCATTAGCTTCTCAGGCATTTTGTGTATCTGGGTGGAGGGGAAAATGATGTAATCAGTCAAAAATGGCTTAAATTAGGACTTTAAGGGAAAGTAAATTTTTTCTTTTTAATTTGGGTCCGTTCTTACAGATACTTCTTATAGGTAGAAAATAATGACACAGTACACTAGTTCCCTTTAAAATATGAATTGAATGTTATATGAAGCAATGAGGATTTCAAATTTAAATCTTGGGAGGATTCACATAAATATTCCAAAATGACTTAACACCTGTCAGAGTGAACAGAGTTGATAGGCCCAATTCCTTAAGTTTCCTCATCATTAACATTGAAATATATAGTAAAATGTTTCCACAACAATTCTGTATAGATTGAGCCCATGGAAACTCAGGATCCTTCTCTGTTTTTACTTGGCAGGAGGCACTCTGCAAAGTGCTTTGCAACCAAATCTCAGGAGCAACAGTAGCTATATCCTCTAGTTCCAGAATAAAAGTTGAGAATTATCAATTAGGAAATAATTATCTATTCTGTACTCCAGTTTTAGAAGACTGCTTCTAGGTTAAATGTATTTCTAAAATAATCTATTGTGTAAATATTTAATTTGTGTAGGTAAATATTTAATTCAGATAAGTTAATATTCTCAACCTCCCCAGTTATTGTGTGGGGCCAGTGTTCAAGCTATAAGATTGCTTCTTTGCTGGCAGACTTCAAGGGGACAAAAATTAGACATATGGAAAAGGTATAGAATTTTCTTTTTTTTTTTTTTGTGGGACCCTCGCCGGTGGCCAGGGAATGAATCGGTGCTGCAGAGGCTGCGAGCAGCCTCGCAGCCCAGCACTCAACCGCTGCGCCACCAGGGGAGGCCCAGTGCTAGAAATTTTAAGATTAGGATTTGAGAAATTTGAGTGTTACGAAAGCATGGCAAGCAGCAAAAACTAAGTTCAGGTTGAATGACAGAGTGATGGAAGGGATTACATAAAGAAATTGGGCTCCTAAGAGCATCAAGCAAAGGATTTTTATTTTTGATTAGTGGGAAATTAATTTAAAATTGGTTAGATTTGTAGGTTTTGGCCTTTGGATGGTAGCATAATAGCAGATAAGCCTAAGGAAAATAAATGGAGCAATACAGAAGTGGGGGCTTATCAAGTTTTGTTTGAGGTAGAAAGAAAGGAAGCAGAGAAAATGAGTAAAATCAGTTAAGAGGGTGGTAGGAGGATAAGGAATGAGTGATGGGTGTGTTGAATTAAAAATTCACAAAATTGGAGGACCATTTGAAAGGCCATTGACAAAAAAGGATTCTGATAGATCACCTCTGGAGGCTGAGAGGCAGCCTCTGGATCAAACTGACAATAGGTGAGATAAGTATATGAGGAAGAGATTCCATTGATATTTAAACTCACTGAGTACAAGTGAAGCTGAAATTAGGGATGTACTAGAAAGGCAGATTCCACTGCCATTAATCTCACCATACTGCACAGTACTAGACACAGAACTATACTTGGTCACATTTTACTTACACTTACTCTGTTCTGTATTTAGGACTATTGCTGGGAAGACCATGGTTATTCTTTGGTAAATCGCCTTTATCCAGATGTGGGACAATTGATTGATGAGAAGTTTCACATTGCTTACAATCTTACTTATAATACAATGGCAATGCACAAAGATGTTGATACCTCAATGCTCAGACGTGCTATTTGGAACTATATTCACTGCATGTTTGGAATAAGGTTAGTCTGTTTTCTTGTGTTTATAAAGAGATAGTTTCCTTTAGGCTAGATTATTTAGGTATATTTGGAACACTTAATGCACAGGCACACATTCATATATTAAAAACCATTCTACCTGCGTTTCAAAGAACCAACAACTTACTGTAGCTTGGTTTGTTTCTTTTGTGCTAGCTAGGCAGGAGGAAGAGTTAAGGTCATTGGTAAGACTTAAACGACATGTGCCTCTGGAGGGAGGGGAACGCAAGGTGATAGCGCATAAATGAAAAGAGGTAAAAGTTTGCCACAGAACATCTTTGGTATCTTTTCTCTTTGTATGATCTGTCTCCAAACACACTCATATTTCTAAATTCTTAGAACCGAGTACCCTTATGGTACCCCTCTGGGTATTCTCAGGCTACTTCTGGTAAGTGCCTACTCTGACACTTTATCAAAATGCAGAGCTTTCATGTCTTATTAGGCTTTTAGTCACATCACTATATAAGAAATGCAGCTATTACATACAACACCTTCTGACACATGCCTGTACACTCTGTGCTATGGTGCTCTCTAATAATTATCAGTCACCAGTCTCCTGAATGGCTGCAGGACCAACCTTTTAAGAGCTTTTTCCCTTTTTCCACTGAAAACCAAACAGGAGACTTGAGTCTCTAGGTGTTCTAGAAACCATCACCCAGTGGATCAGACAATGGTGCCTTTGACTCTTCTGGCTTAAAGCTGGACAACCTCTGCTAAGTGTAAATTCTATGAGGCCCCCTGTAAGACCATCCTTCCTCAGAGATAGCCACCTCCCCACCCCATTTTTCCTCATCTGACCCCCGCAAAACTCCTGGAAACATGAGAAAAACAATTCTATTTTTTATTTATACAAGTAGATTACTCTTTATATAGCATGTAATGGTACTAATAGTAAAATTACTGTCTGGTTAATTTCTTACTATCAGCAGTACTCAGAGAATCTGGCACTGGTAAATTTTCTGTTCATTTCCATAAGTTCTTATTCCTTTAGACTCATCCACTAAACATTGTAAAGCAATAAGAATACAGCATTTATTATTGTCTGTACTTTTTGTAGAAGGAATATACATTGAAAATACAGTAATTCTTTTGTCTTTTAACAGATATGATGACTATGACTATGGTGAAATTAACCAGCTATTGGATCGTAGCTTTAAAGTTTATATCAAAACTGTTGTGTGCACTCCTGAAAAGGTTACCAAAAGAATGTATGATAGCTTCTGGAGGCAATTCAAGCACTCTGAGAAGGTAAGGTACCCATTGTGTCTTGTTTACTCTGTGACTTAGCAGTGGTTTGTATTCTTCACCTAATCTTATGGCTTTCTAACACCATTGCCAACCAGGAGAACATTCCAACACAGCTGTCTTAGGTGGCCCTAGAAAGGGAAGCTCATTCTGGTGTTAGAGTAAAAGAATAAAGACAGGGAGGACAGGTGTGCTGCCATAACTGCTTAGGAGGTGGAAGGCTGTTGTGCAAGAGCTCTGTTTATATACAGAAACATCTGGTCTTAAGAACATCTTTATAGATATTATTGAATGGTGAGAAGTTGGTATTCTAATAAAATAATGTTCAGATTTTCTGAAGTAAATGTGATCATACATAAATAAGCTCAAAATAATCTATCCAAAAAGAACGTCAGACAGCTTTTGTTCAGAGAAATTGATAATCTGTTCAACAAACCCAAGACTTCTAAGATATGTAGCAGCACATACAAAATATTATTTTTGGTGTTTATTAAATGCACTGAAAAACTGATTGTATTTATAACCCTACCTTAAATGGTGTTGTGTTTTATATTTAGGTTCATGTTAATCTGCTTCTTATAGAAGCTAGAATGCAAGCAGAACTCCTTTACGCTCTGAGAGCCATTACCCGCTATATGACCTGATGCCTTTCCTCCATTAAGGATGATGGAATGATCAGCAGATGTAGTCTACAAGGGGAAGGTACTAGCCCCAGGACCAATGGTAGATAAAAAGAATTCAGAAATCCATTGTGCCATGATTCCTTTAGTTTCTGCTATTTTACTGTGGAAATACTGCTGCTGGCACGAGCAGTGGATGCTTGGCAGCTTTAAGTTTAGAACTGTGAAGAAGGGCTGCCATTCACAGTATTTTGCTTTTTGACAGTACAAGATGCTGTATAACTGTTTTAATACAGCAAATAGTAACTCTCCAAATCCTGTTGCTTTTATGTTAAATAAGATAACAAGAATTGGAGCATGCAAAGAATGGGTCTTGGATAATGGTGTAAGCTTTTATAAAGAATTTTAGATCTTGGTGCTGCTATTCCTGCTGGTGGAATGAATAGAGTGGCTGTTCCAGTCAAGCTATTAGTAATAAAAGTGAACACTGCTACTATCTGAGCCTACATACATGATTTGTGTGGTTTCAAATTAAACCTGCATATGTGTTAACTTTTTGCATCTAAAAAAGCATAGAACTATATAGCTCAGCAGACCTTTTTTTTTTTAGTTATGGGATGACATTAAATTACAGTGGCATTCTTAAAGATTTTCTTCAAAAAGTAATCTTAAATTGTGTATAAATAGGAAAAGCTGTCTATCTTTTGATATGCTCTTCCCCAAGATTCTCTGACACTGGAGGGCATCTGTCTTTGTGCAGTATTTTTTTTTTCCAGCACCAAGGTTGTGGGAAAAGTTGCTATAGACTGCTGCGCAGTCCCAGGTGCATCCTATCCCTGTTCCTACCCACATTATGGCCCCTACTTTAAAGGTTGTGCAGCTCCTTAAGTGATAAAGCTGGAAAATACTTTGTCAGGTCATCAATTTGATTTATAAAAATGCTAACTTTGAAATGCAAACAGGTTTGAAAAAATGTATTAAGTACTTTGTATTTGGGAAGCGTGAATTGCTTTTGAACTGTCAGTATTATTGGTATTTTTCAATAAAGAATAATTTTTCTCCAATTTTATTTGCTGTCTTACTACCTTAAAAAGCCTTGATTCACTACCAGTAACAATTCTGAATTTGTGTTTACTTAGATTTGCCAAGCATATTCACAACTTTAGTGCTATAGTCAAATGAGAGATTGCTATTAAGTGACAAAACTTGGAAAGCCATTAAGAAGGATATTAAAAAAAAAAGTGCACCTTTAAGAGCTTATCTAACACTTATATTTTTAGCTTGGAAATGACTGGTATAGGTCCCTTTTGAATGAATATTTTGGAGTTCAAATTTAATTAATAGGGATTAAAAACTAGAGCATATTAGGGAGTAACTGCAGCAAAAAATGACACTGTCAAACAACTACATGTACCTCTAATTTTAGTCAGAGTTGTTGAATAGCTTTTATTCCTCAAACTATTGCTAAAGGCTTAATCTAGTCCCTGTAAATTTATATCATGTGGATAGGAAGGGGATGCTTAATTTTGAGGAGAGGGACTTATGATTTCAAGGATATACCCTAAATCAGAAGACAAGGCTATTACCTTAGAAAGTAAGCCAATTTCTAGTTAACTTACAATAATGTATACATGGTCCTATACATTAAATTTGTATCATGCCTTTGCCTTCTTTTGCCTGCTTCTGAGTTGTCTTACCATAGTAATACAGGTAAATCTAACAAGTACTGGATATCTGGCTCCAAATTTTTATTCATTCTGCTGTTTTTTTACACATCCTTTGAAAATACAAAAATTTCTAAAAGAAGTTCTAATCAGTAGTAGATGATCACAAAACAAGATCAGCTGAATGCATTATTTTAGTCTATTGAGGCTTATAATCTAAGAAATCGCAAGTTGAAATGAAAAAAATTTAATAAAAATATACGCTCATATCTAAAGTGAAAAAGGCATGCATGTGATACAAAGTTAATATTTTAATGCCTCCCATTTAACAGGTGCTTCCTGTTACTCAGCATGTTTCTCAAAACTGACCACACTGGATTTAATGTTACTAGCATAGTCATTGAAATTAATGGTTTCCAAAATTATTAGGGACGGTAAAATGGAACACTCTGAGACATGAGGATCTCCTCCCACCCACAAGGATTTTTTTCGTAAATAATTATGGAGATTTATGATTGTAGATTCCAGAATTCAATTTTTGAGACATGAGTCTTGATTTTAAAAAAATATATGAAATATGATTCTTTTGGTAAAATTTAGGGAACTTTTTTTTCAAATCATGAAAAGATCCTCTATCACCAGGGCAATGCAAATCAAAGCCATTAGACAAATCACCTCACACCTGTTAAAACAGCAACTGTAGCAAAACAAAAATATCACTCCAATAATATATTTCTTTTGCAAGAGTATTTCATAGGAAGGGCTCTGAAAGTTGGGTGGAGGTTGCCCTTTAGAGATACTTATATTTATAAAGGAATATTTGCCTTTAAAAGGATCTCCCTTCCTCTATAGGAAAGACCTAATTTCTAACTCATCATTGGAGAAGGCTGCATCTTAAATCTGCATAACAGTCATGCCTTTGTTTACTGTCTTCCTGTTGCTCTCCTATAACTGACCTTCCCTTCCCCTAATGTCCTTTGTCTTTAATAGCCAAAGTGATTTAAGCAGGTAACTTACTGGGTTTCTTCCATGTGTACAAGAGAGAGGTATACATGTTACTAAATTTTTTTTAGCCCTTTTGCTCTTCAACCTGTCTAATGTTAATTTGACTATTTGCCAGTCCAGAAGAATCTGGGGTAGGGGGAACCATCTTTTCCCTAGCACTATCATCAAAAGCCAATAGATAGCAAGTGCTGGCGAGAATGTGGAGAAAAGGGAACTTGTACACCTGTTGGTGGGAATTTAAATTATTACAGCCATTATGGAAGACAGAATGGAGGTTCTTAAAAAAAAAAATAGAACTACCTACAGTACAGCAATCCCACTTCTAGGTATATATCTGAAGTAAATAAATTCACATCTCAAAGAGGTAATCATGTGTGTATATGTATATATGTGTATGTGTGTATGTAAAAAATAGTGTCTCATACAATGGAATACCATTCAATGCATGAGAAATCCTATTTGCAGCAACACAGATCAATCTGGACTACACTATGCCAAATGAATAAACCAGACACAAAGACAAAACATGCATGATTTCACTTATATGTGGATTCTTGAAACAGTCAAACTCAAAGTAGGATGGTAATTACCTGGCTTTGAAAGGTGGGGCATAGGAGAGTGGGGAAGTTTTATATTAGGCCAAACTTAATTCAGTATCTCTTACTATAAGAAGATTAAATTCCGAACATCCATATTTGGCACATTTAATTTTAACATCATAGGTGATGAGATTTTTAAGTTAAAACTCATTTAAAAACAAAAGATCTGTATTCTTGTAATGGTTCAGCTATTTCAAGTCAGTTTGGTAACACCACTGAGAAATAGATCAGGAAAACTTACTGGTTAGGCATGTTTTCTAAGCATATTTTTTATCTTAAAGATACTCAGTTTATTAGCATATTTGTGCTAGTGAATATCAAGATATAGCAAAAGACAGGTAGATGGGGGGATGAATTGGGGGAGGGGTAAATTCATCAAGATGGGAGACAGTGAAGTTCCAGTTCCCCATTCCCCATGTATTCACTAAGTTAATATAAAAACTAACTTTGTGATGGGCCTCCCCGGTGGCGCAGCGGTTGAGCGCTGGGTTGCGAAGCTGCCCGCGGCCTCTGCGGCGCTGGTTCGATCCCCGGCTGCTCCCCGGCCAGCGGACGAGGGTCCCACATGGCGCGCAGACCTCTCCTGCCGCCCGCTGCTCCCCTCAGCAGTGTACTTCGGTCCTTCTGCCTGCTCTGCTCCCCGCTCTGGTGAATTCTCTCACCCTCCCGCGCTTCTGACTGTACCCAGTGCATGTATAAACAAAACAAACAAACAAATAAATAAATAAATAACATGCCTCTATAAAAAAAAAAAAAAAAAACTAACTTTGTGAGAATTCTAGAAAATACAGTGGAAAAACTCACCAAAATAGCACAGTTGAGAGAAAACTCAATTCCAGGCTCCTCCCTCAGGGCAAAAAGAACACAGTGCAACTTGTGCTCAATGTTTTGGCTTGTATGAGGGATGCGCAAAGGACTAAATTCTGTTACTGACTTGAGTGCTAGTCGAAGTGGGAGCATGGCTTGGATGCAGGCTACTGAAAACAGAAGCAAGCATTAGAGCCACGGGGAGTCTACAGTTCCCAAAGGCAGGCACAAAGGGTGCAAAAGACTACTGACAAGAATACAACAGAAAGCAAAACAAAGCTCCAGGGAAGAAACGTGAACAAACCTGTTAGAGAAATTAAGATGGTTAGCAGGAAAAAAAAAAAAAATGGTTAACAGCAAATGTATACACTGAAATAAAAGTGCACATATAAGCCCAGAGAAAATGAAGCCCAGAAAAGATTTTGAGAGGTCCCAGAACCTCTAGCCAGGTGGATTGCTGAAGCTATTAAAGACTGGCAAAGGTAGTGGTTTTTTCAAATGTCCACATCTCAACAAAAGTTCACAAGCCTTTTGAAGAAATGGGGGTAAAGGGGGGTGAAGAGGCAGCAGCACATGGAAAATTCTAACAAAATAAACCCCCAGAAACTGGCCCTAAGGAAATGTACATCTCTGAATAATTGGCAAAGAATTTTAAACAGATATCCTAAAGATGCTCAATTAAAAAAAAAAAAAAAGAACAGGATTGACAAATCAGGAAAATGATGCATGAATACAGTGGAATGTCAACCAAGGCAAATTACTAAAAAGAACCAAATTCTGGAGCTGAAGAATATGATAAATGAATTTTATTTTAAAAACCACTACAGGAGTTCAACAGGAGACAAAACAGAAAAACCAGTGAATGTGGAGACAGGTATAGTGGCAAAAAAGTTAACCAAATTTGAAGAAAGAAATCAGCATATTATTCTATGTAATTCAACAAACTCAAATAGGATAAACCCGAAGAGACCCACACTGACCCCATTACAATCAAACATGACAGTCAAAAAGTATTCTGAAAGCAACTTGTCATATACAGAGAAGTCTCTGCAAGATTATCAGCAGATTTTTCAGCATAAATCTTACAGGCCAGAGAGAAATAGAATGATATATTCAAAGTGCTTAAAAGAAAAAAAATCTCCCAACCAAAAATATACCAAGCAAAATGGTTCTTCAAAAAAAAACAAAAGTGCAAAAAAACACAAAGGGCATAATTAGGACTTTCCCAGATAAACAAAAGTTGAGGGAGTTTTTTACCACAAGACTTGCTATATAAGAAATGTTAAGAGAAGTCTGTTAGTTGAAACAAAAGGATGCTACAGCGCAGTGGAAAGTTACATAAATAATCAAAGTTTTCTGGTAAAGATAACATGTTAAAAAAATATAGAAACCTGTATCATAATTTTGGCACATAAGTCCCATTTTTAGTTCTTTTGAAAAACGAATCATTATATCTATGTCAATGGGTACAAAACATAATTTAAATGCTCTCAAATTTACACAAAAAGAAGGAAATCAAAGCATGTCATTAAAAAAAAATTAATGATACACGAAAGAAGAAATAAGAGGAAATGAGGGACGAAAAATCTTTCCATAAAGACAACAATTAACGATACAGTACTAGGTAGCAAAATACAGTATTGTCTTTTCCTATAAATAACTGCATTAAAGGTATGTCCCAAAAGACATAAATGGCTGAATGGATAAACTATATGAATCTTACTATAGGCTACCTACAAATGACTCACTTTAGGTCTAAGGATGCACACAAGTTGCAAGTGAAAGAATGGAAAAAAATATTCACACAAATAGTAACTAAAAGAGCAGAGATGACTATAACACTACTAGTCAAAAGGGTCAATTCACCCAGCAGATATAACAATTACAAAAATGCATGAATACCAAAGCTCTAAAATATATAAGGACATATTAACAAAAGTAAAAACAGAAATAGCAACACAGTAATACTAGGGGTGTCTATTGCCCCACTTTTAATATTAGACCAACCAAAAGATGAATAAGGAAACAATTTGAACCCGCTCTAAACCAGTTGGACATATCAGACATAAAACATTCCATTCAGCAACAATGGAGTGTAACAAGCATTCTCCGGGATTGACCACAAGTTCCATAAAAGACAAAAATCAACAAATTTTAAAAGGATGAAATTATACAATGCATCTTTTTCTATCACAATGGAGTGAAACTAGAAATTAATAGCAGAAAGAAAAACTTGGGAAAATCCACAAGTATTTGGGAATTAAACAATACATCAAAGAAGAAATCTTTGAAGAAGGGGACTTAGAAAATACTGAGACAAATTAAAATAAAAACACAACATACCAATGTCAAAAGGAAAGTTTATGGTTATAAATCCTTACACTAAAAGATTTCAAATCAGCAACCTAATTTCACACCTTAATGAAGTAGACAAAGAGGGCCTCCCCTGGTGGCGCAGCGGTTGTGCGCTGGGCTGTGAAGCTGCCCAGCTACCCGCAGCCTCTGCAGCACCGGTTCAATCCCCGGCCCCCGGCGAGGGGCCCACATGGCACGCAGACCTCTCCTGCCGCCTGCTGCTCCCCTCAGCAGTGTATTTTGTCTGCCTGTTCGTCTGCCTGTTCGTCTGCCTGTTTGGTCCCCGCTCTGGCTCTGATGAATTCTCTCACCCTCCCGCGCTTCTGACTGTACCCAGTGTTTGTATAAATAAGTAAATCTTAAAAAAAAAAAAAAAAATGAAGTAGACAAAGAAAAACTAGGGCCCCTCTGTTGGCACAAGGGGTTAAGTCTCAGCACTCTGAAGCTATCTGCAGTCATTGCAGGCCGGGGCACTAACCCACATGGCACAGCAGACCTCTCCTGTCTCACCCACTGCTCCCCTCAGCAGTGTATTTCAGTAGATCCACCTATTCTGCTCCCCATTCTTTCTGGTGAATCCTCTCACTCTCCCACCCCACACATCTGGCCTACACCCCAGCTCTTGTATGCATAAATAAATCTTTTTCAAGAAAAGAGAGAAAGGATTAGAAAACAATTACACACCAACAAATTAACTAACACAACCTACAAAGACTGAATCATGGAAAAATTGAAAATCTAAATAGACTTTACTATAAGGAGACTGAATCACTAATCAAAAACCACCCAATAAAGGCCAGCACCATATGGTTTTACTGGACTATAACCAGTAGATATAAATATCTACCAAATATAAAGAAAAATTAATGTCAATCCTCCTCAAATTCTTGCCAAAATTTGAAGAGGAGAAAGCTTCCAAAATCATTCTATGGAGTCTGGCATTATCCCAATACCAGAAGTCAGACAAAGACACAAAGAAAGAAAACTACAAACTAGTACCCCAA